TAAGTCCAACTTCGACCGAGAGGTCAAGCGACGTATTGAACTCGGCTGGGCAGCGTTCGGGAAATTACGACACATCTTCTCGTCAGGTATACCTCAATCTCTGAAAACTAAAGTGTACAACCAGTGCGTGTTGCCAGTGATAACTTACGGATCTGAGACGTGGGCCTTCACTGGTGGCCGTATGAGGACGCTTAAGGTCGCTCAGCGAGCTATGGAGAGGGCTATGCTTGGAGTTTCTCTGCGTGATAGACTCAGAAATGAGGATACCCGCAGTAAAACCAGAGAGACCGACATAGCCCAACGGATTAGTAAGCTGAAGTGGCAATGGGCCGGCCATATAACTCGAAGAACCAATAACCGATGGGGAAGAAAGGTTCTCGAGTCGCAGCCTCGTACCGGTAGGCGTAGTGTAGGGCGACCCCATGCAGTGACGACCTGGTAAGAGATGCAGGAAGTCGATGGATGCAGGTGGCTCAACACTGTGCTTTGTGGTATTACTTGGGGGAGGCCTATTTTCAGCAGTGGACTTGTGAAGGGCTGTAATGATGATGATGATGCCGTCGGTGAGCAGTGGCTGCGAAGTTAGCTGTTTATGAATACAAGTAGATGAAGTTGGTTGAATAATATACAAGTTTACTTCGCGGCATTGGTGCGAAAATAATCTTGCTTCGTTTTGACAAAAAGAAACATTTAAAATTGGAGAAATATTTTATTGTGCGTGGATGTGCAAGTGGTTTAGTATCCGATCGGAAAAATAGACCGAAAATGACTTTTAATGAGAAAACTTAACGATCGCAGCGCCTCACTTATTTTGTCCATATTCCTGGGACACTAGTTTCTACAGCGATCGTTCTCCTTCTCTTTAACCTCCATGGCTTCCACTTTAATGCCATACGTATGTATGTAATTACTCTAAGTTTAATGCTTTCAGTTCCCTACATATATGGAGATCTTTGAGTATTAAACTAAAGGAGACAGCATCGCAAATAAGCAAAGAAAGGACCTGCGTTCACTAGGCTCGCCGAACTGAGTCAAAACGAATTGCAGAAAGTTGCCTCCTATATATTTCCTATGAAACTGGGTCCATTAGTAAAGAGCTGCGGCGCGCCGAAATGAATCGACCGCGCGAATTGCTTGACAGTCGAATTTATTCGCCGATGAGATTCGATTCAATTCGGCGCGCCTAAGTCGACGCGAAAAAGTGAATGCGCGCCAATATAAAATCATCTCTGCATCCGAGCTGTTCATGACGCAAAATCGACCTAATTTGATGAGAGTTTGCGATGAATGAGCGATTCGATTTGATTATTTAGAAATGGACGCACTAGGAATAAATACGACTCGCTTTGATTCGACGCGTTTCTGCTGTAGTCGACGCGAGGCTTTAAAGGTACGAGACATGGTGTATAGAGATAAGGAGGACAATCTCCCATAGAAGAATAGTTAAAAATGTGTCCAGTTGTAAGTAGTAAAAAACAGTTCAAAAACGCTCCACAACAGCGCTCGAGTACCTACTGGGTGTGATAAATCACCGTAAAATACGATAGCAGTGGTCCTGAAAAAAAATATTTGAAAGCAATAAAATAATTATGTAAAAAGAATGGTGAATGTCTGTGCAATAAAAAAATTATAAAAAGTTCTTTAAAATTTAGACTGTAGCTACAGTGGCGCCACCCTTATTCCTACGGACACTTTTTTATAAGAGTCTGTACTCCTTACCTCTACACTCCATAGTACGAGAGTTCGATTCATAACCGTTATATAAAACTAGTTACTCTGCGTCGTGCGCCCAAGCCAATTCCTAAAACTAAAAGTACCGCCACTAAAAAGTCGTCTTACACAAGTGATCGCGCCAGTCATTGAATTATTGAATAATTCAATAATTCAATAATTGAATTATTGAACTAGTCAATAATTCAATTATTGAACTCCGACAAAAATGCCGAATTGCAATGTATTTTCATGCAAAAAACAATAAAAACCGTCATATCTACAAAAGGATAACGTGGATTTTCATCTGTGAATACTTTTAACATAATATTATCGTTAAAACTCGTATTATCTGAATATTTTCGTAAAATATCAAGTGTTGCTAGCATAGTTAAAAAAGTGAAAAATAAGCGATTTTAAAATAAATATAATTTAAAACACAAAATAAATATATTAAGACCCCTTTTACATTTCGGCGTTACGCAAATTTAGTTATTTACGCCCCGAGCGGGCTATGACCTACGCAAGCGACACTTTATTTTATATCTTTTCAATCGCTCGCACTACGGTACTGTGAGTATAACGACTAAACGATCTTGATTTTTCATTATGCAAGTTTTCTTAGGATGGAGTTCAGTCGATGGAAAATTTTTGGTGTGTCATTTTTATGTTATCTAATTAATTTATTACAACCTATTAGATATATTTTTCATTATTTATGAACCTTATTGTTGAATTTGAATTGTACACATAAATATTTTATTTGTTTCACAGTAATCGATTGTTATTGGATGTTGGTTAATAATAGATTATATCTACTAACGGTAGCAAAGTGGTATAACTAAATTAATAGTACGGTTGCAACCTGTTTAAATAAATAAAATAACCAACTTTAACTTATATTTTTTAATCGGTACTTACTTTTATTATAAAAATATTTGCCGCAATGGCATTGACCGAGCTTATCTCGAGTAAATAATTTCAATCAGTGCACACTTTTTTATAAAACGCTTGTAACTTGGCTAACATATTCAAAATCCAAAATTTGTCGTCTTTCTAGATAGTACTTTTACTGCATAATATAGGCCAGTTCAAATGGCAAGCATGCAGACATTTTTATTCTCCATTATTTTTCTCCAGAGGTAGGATATTTCTTTTTTTACGTTTATATTGATACTTGTTTTTATTTTTCTCCATTCGGACTGGTAAGAAAGCGCAGCTACAATCAAAATAACTATAATGCTCTAAAATAACTATATGGTATAATAATAATGTGCGAACTTTTTACTAATTGAAATATACTGTACTAAAGTAAATATTTCCAACGATTAAAATTTGCGGGCGTAGTTGAAGATGCAAAATAGCAGCGCCACAGCTAGGGTTGCCAGGTCTTAAGACCGAAAAGCCGGACAGTCAATACTAGTAGCCTAGTGTGAGAGCAGTCATGGCCTGACTTTTATTCCAGCTGTTCGCCTTCATAACAGCTTATAACTAAATTTTGTAAGCCGACCAGGAAGAAGTCCCGTCGAACGGCGGCACTTTGAACCCACGTAGCGAAGGGGTTGTAGCTACTACGGGGGCTGTAATTCCATCCCCAAGTTTGAGGTCGTCCAGCGTTTTCTTCACGTCAGCCATCACGTTGTCAACCGATTTTCTCACCCGACAGGCAGGTCATTTGAGCAACTCTCCCACCCCTTTATCCTTCCCAGAGTAAAGCCCTTCATAGAGATCCTGCAAACATTAAACCCTACGGGTCGACTCCTCTGGTCTCCTGCTGGCGTTGACTTCGGGTACGGACACCCTCCGTATCTTCTGTTGTCTGTGTTCTGACACCAATTGTTACGAGCTTAGTTAGGGTTCGTGACAATAAAACAGCCGATTGAATTACGAAAATTGACACTTTAATTACCGAACTTTGTAGTTATAAATTGAAGTTATAAATAGGGAGCACTTAAAACAGCTGTTGACTTTAAAACCTACTCGCCCTTAGTCTCCTAAGACTACATGATACATGATTAATTCAATAAATAATAATTTAATAATAGGTTAGAGAACAGGAGAACGATCGTCGTAGAAAATAGTGTCCCAGAAATATGGACACCATAAGTGAGGCGCCGCGATCGCTAAGTACGCTCAATTAAAGTCATTCTCCTGTTCTCTAACCTCCATGGATATTAACCTGACAGCCATTATGAATTTTAGCACAGAGTACTTTTGTATACCTGAACGAATTTCAGTATAAGTTTAATTGACTGTATGGTAGGGATGATCGATGCTGCAGAAACATCGAAGATCATTGTTGGCACTAGCTTGCTACAAATTTATTTATCTATGGTTGGCACCGATAGCTCAACATCAATGTTCAATGTTTATCCTACTCAAAGCATCAATGTTGAACATTATCGATGTTTTTGCACATGTATTTAATAAATTAGAATTAGATGAAAAATAGACATGTTGTTTACGGTATATTATTGATAAAATAAAATAATTTAATAAACATTCTACTTAGTTTAAAAAGGTAATAGGGTATTTTACACCATGTAAAATAAAATCAAAAAATATATATTTATACCTACTGTATAGAGTAGGGATGTTCGAGAATTATAAGTAAAAAGTAAGCAAGTGTTTGCTTTTTCTTTTAAACACTTACTAAAGATTTGCCTTGCCTCCTATATATTTTCCTTATTTTATAATTATTCTTAAAAGCCGTTACATGGCAGCCAGTGCTTCCAGATTCACTGTAATTACAGTAGATTTACTGTATTTTAGACTTTTCTACTGTATACTGTAATGATAAAATACAGTGTATGGAATATACTGTATTTAATTTTCATATAGCTTTATCAATTCTAATACGTAAAACAGAACGCAGCTAATCTACACTACCACAGACTAATATGATGCTAATACACTACCTTGCTACAAATTTATTTATCTATGATCTACACCCACTGAACCACAAACTAATAAGAGTGCTAGCGCCATTATCCATAGACAATGTACAGTAAGTTTGTAACAAAGTTGCGGGGAATTCCCTGGCAAATCGGAACTAACGTGGAGCACTCTGGGACGCAACTAGCATAAGTAGGTTCTTGTTACTTGTTTTAACTGTCTTACAAAGGAACATTGTATTTTTCGTCTAATTCATTACACTTAAAGTAGTTTTGCCATTGTACATACATTTTAATTGAGATTTAAACTTTTTAATTGTTTTGGGTGATGTGAAATAAAATTTAAACTAAAAACTTATTCGCTATAATTTTTTCACTGTATTTATTACTGTAAAAATGAGCTCAAGCAGTGAGGAAAGTGATGTGCGTAGCGATGCTGGTCCGTCAAGAGCTAAAAAGAAATATCGGCAACAATTCCGTGATGAATGGCTTCAATTACAAGACTACCGTAAGTGGTTAAAGCGTGATAAAAAGTCGATTTATAAATGCATTTGCACTGTTTGCGATTCTTCTTTGATTGCCGATCTGGGTGCTATTAAAAGACACAGTGAAGGTGCTAAGCATAAACTTCGTCTTCCTGCCCTATCGCATGTGCGTACCATTGACAATATTTTTAAAAGTCAGCAACGCGCAAGTGATGATGATCAGCGGAAAATTACAGAATTAAAATTATCGGCTTTTATGGCAGAACATAAAATATCGCACATAGTGATGGATCATCTCGTTGATTTACTTCCAAAAGCTTTTCCAGATTCTAAAATCGCAAGTAATATCAAACTTAAACACACTAAATTACAAGCAATAATAAATAACGTTATCGGGGCTTCTGAAGGAGAATGTTTAGTCGAAGATTTAAAACGCGAAAAGTTCTCTATAATGGTAGACGAAAGTACCGATGTTGCCAGTGTGAAAACAATGTGTGTTGTAGTCAAATATTATGATCCTAATTTAGGACGTATCGTCAGTCGATTCTGGGACCTTATTCAAATATTTGATGACAAAAAAAGCTGGAACGTCTGGTGATTACTCAGCCACGGCTGAAAAATTATTTAATTCAATAATAAAATCATTTCGAGACAAAAATATACCCTTAGAAAATACTATCGGGTTTGGTTCTGATGGATGTAATATGATGATGGGCTGCCATAATTCAGTGTCCTCACGATTTAGACAACTATGTCCAGGTATTACAGTGATCAAATGCCTTTGCCATTCTTTACATTTGTGCGCTTCCGACGCTTGCAAAGAATTGCCCCACGATGCAGAAAAACTGACTCGAATGATATACAATTACTTCAAAAATAGTAGCAAACGTCAAGCAGAGTTAAAGGAATTTCAAGTATTTACAGACACTAACATACACAAATTGCTACGTCCAGCCCAAACGCGTTGGTTGTCTCTTTCCAGTGTTGTGAACAGAATTATGGAGCAATGGGACGCTTTGCGATTGTACTTTGACGATAAATGGCTGGAAGACCAAGATTGCCAAGCCATTCATATTCTTTTGAATGATCACATCATCAAGGCATATTTTTATTTTTTATGTTGGATGTTGCCAAAGTTTACCCGCGTCAATGTATATTTTCAAAGCGAAGATCCGGTTATTATAGAAGCCCATAACAAAATGAAAGAGCTATACAGAGAACTCTTATCCTTATACATAACTCCGAATCATTTAAAGAACACCCCACTCGACGCAATTGACCCTACTGATAGTCAACATTACATAAATCTGAAAAATATATACCTGGGATTGGGTGTTGCTAATCAAGTTGCTGTCCCAGAGCTACATGTAAGTACCGAAGAAGTTACAGTGATGAAACAGAAATGCCTGAATTTTATCGTTAAAGCATGCGTGGGTATTCGGAAAAGATACAGTTTGAATGACCCAGTTTTGAGCTCAATCGCAAAGTTGGATCCCGATTCTTGCTTATCTGATAATAGACTACAGTCTTTGTCTTCGCTGTTCCCAGTGCTGCCAAGGCTTAAACCCCAAACTTTAAATGATCAACAGACGTTAGATGATGAATGGAGAAATTTAATGTTGACTGCGGATGAACAACATTTGAATACAAATCAACCAGCAGACGTGTTTTGGCATCAGGTAAAATTTTATCACTTAAGAACTTTACGTATAATATTGCACATATGTTTACATTTTACAGATTTGTTTTTTTTTCAGTTGTCTCAAATCAAAGATAGCAACGGAGATAATAAATATCATTTTCTGCCTCGTTTTATGCTCCAAGTTTTATCGTTGCCTCACTCGAACGCTGAGTGCGAACGAAAGTTTAGTGAAATAAATAATATAAAAACAAAGCAGAGAAACTGTTTAGTCACAAATACCATCAAAGGCAACATGCTAGCTCAGCAAGCCATTCGGCGGACTTCCGAAAATTGCGTGAATTTTAATCCAACTAAGGAAATGATTTCAAGGATGACAGCAAAGATTTATGAAAATCATGAGCAAATTGTTCTGGAATAAGTAAATCAATAATAAATGTTTTTTCTTGTATCTAAATATATGTTTTTATTTATTTAATAACTTATAGCAATTTGTATTGATAAAGAGTCATAAAGCAGCTTATTTTTCTATCAATATTTAAACAAAGTGTTTCCTGTAATTTTACTGTAATTGATTTTGAAATCTACTGTATTGTTTTTAGAAACTCCTGTATTTTTTAACTGGCAACACTGTAATTTTACTTTTGGGATCTGGAAGCACTGATGGCAGCTCAAAATCTATTTGTCAAATATTTTATACTGAAAATGGCGGATGTTTATGTTCATTCCGCAAGTTTGTTATAGAAATCTAGAACAAAGAATAATGTATTCATATAATGATTTACCATGCTTTCACTTTTTCAGTTCTTTTCTTTTTTTCTCTCCATCTTAAGTCTGAATTCTTCTCAAAAGGGGAATTTCTCCTCATTGTGGAAAGACTGGACAGTAGGTACCTAGTTGATAAGTTTCATTAGAGTATGCTTTTATTTATATTAGGTACTTGTTGCCTGAACAGTAACTTTTACTTTTACCCTTAATCATATTTTATATTTTCTTTAACTCTGATAATTTATTTTCTAGTTTTATCCTATAGATTTTAAGCCTCTGTAACGTGAATGTACCAGAGTTTTAGACGCCTCTTTAAAAGATTAAGGGATTAAGGGAAATATACTTGTGTCTGAAGTTGAGTCTTTGCTGAACAAAGTCTCGGATTAGGGGCGACTAAATCTAGTCCAGTTTAACTCTCAGAAGACACAAGTTTGCGCGTTTACCTTTCCACGTTCGTCGTATCTCCTCAGTTTCAAGGCATTCTCGTTGTTGCCTCAGCCAGTATCGGAATCCTCGGCGTCGACATATCGAGTGACGTGCAGTTTCGTGGTCACTTGAAAGAGAAGGCCAAATTGGTCTTTAAAAAGCTTAGCGTGCTCAGCAGAGCGGGACGCTATTGCATACCAGCATACCGCCTGCAACTCAACAAGGCGCAGATTCGGCCTCACATGGAATACTGTTCCCATCTATGGGCTGGGGCTCTCCAGTGGAAGCTCTTTGCACTAGATCGCATCCAGCGCAGAGCGGCTCGAATCGTCGACGACCGAATGCTTTCCCATCGGCTCGCTCCACTGGAGCTGCGAAGAAATGTCGCATCTACCACGGGGAGTGTTCTGAGGCATTGTTCACATTAATCCCAGCCGCCAAATTTCATGAACGCATATCGCAGCAAAACTCCCGATACCACCCACACCATCTGGATACTTGGCGATCCACCACTTACATTTCACTAGGTTTTCTTCCGCGTACCACAGAATAAATAATAGTACTACGTACGCGTACAACCTCTCTGTGGAATAGTTTACTACCAGCAATTTTTCCGGACTGAAACGACTTTAGGACCTTCAAGAAAAGAGCTTACTCCTTTCTAAAAGGCCGGCAACGCACCTGCAATTCCCCTTTATTGTTGCAGTTATCATGGGCGGCGGTAGTCACTTAACATCAGGCGAACCGAATGCTCGTTTGATCCCCTCTCCTATGAAAAAAAAAGATAATGTGTTCCTAAATGATTAAGTGAAAAATTGTGTAATAAGAGAAAAGTATGGTTTACAATATCTTGAAACCAGGACAAAAGAATGCTTTGGTGATTTGGATAAGTAGAAAGAATGAAAAGAGAAAAAAGGAGAAAGCAAAATTACTCTGAACAAGGGAGAGGCAGACTCTGCAAGAATTGCTCTAAACGGAAATTTATAGACCAAATTTGTGATATATTGAATGACTCAAATAAGAGTGAAGCTTAACTCTTCTTGTACTCTAGCCGTGAAGACACCCACAACCCACATCATTAATTGGATGGAAAGACCGATGCAGGCAAATCATTCCACTCCTTTACTGTACGCGTTGTGAACGACGAAGCAAACCTTTGGTTCGAATATATGGTGTGTGGAATGTATGTGTACAAAGGGTTGGAGACCAGCCAAGTCCAGCCAGTCCTCGAAACTAGTAAGATTGGTTTTAACCATATTGGTGTCACACTGTCAACTGTCGACACTACACAGTAAATGAAATAAATTTTTATGGATTTTAACTTTTTAATTTCCGACGTTTCGGGTGCTTTACAGCACCTATGGTCACGGTGGGCATTAAGATGTTTAACGTTCTGATGTCATAGTTAGCCCGGCTAACTTTAGTTTTTAATATTAATTTTTGGTCCAATCTACGCTGAATGAGCTTACAGTGTCTTGAAGTCTTAAAAGAAAAATACACAAACAAAACACTCCACTACGTCCCATAGTAAGCCAGATCGATTCACCAACTTATAAGCTTGGCAAAAATACTGTCACCACTAAGAGGACATACCAGAACACACACAAAGGATTCACACCATTTTATTAGTGAGATAAAAGACCTACATCGCGCTGACAATGAAACTATGGACAGTTTTGATCTTCAGTCACTATTCACACTGCCTAGCTGGTCTAGCGGGTGTAGTGGTGCGACTGCTGATCGTTAGGTCCTGGGTTCGAATCTCGAATCGAACCAAAAAAAATCAATCATTTAGTTTTTCTGTCAAGAAATTCTCAGTAGCTGCCTGGAGTCAGGAAGTTGGGCGGTGTCTCATCCCCGTGCCTCGGAAAGCACGTAAAGCCGTTGGTCCTGAGCCTGATCTCTCTCCGGTCGTGTCGGTTTACCGTCCCATCGGATTATGAGAGCGAGGGAATAGAGAGTGCATCTGTGTTTGCGCGCATACACGTCGGCAATATAATGCTGTCCTGCGCCTATGGCTAGTCTCCGTTGAGGCAGGCCGCCATGACCGAAATTCGGTCTGGAGAACATTATTATTCACATGCCTACCTATTGAAGAATGCATCTGAATTGTAACTAGAAAGCTAGAAGATGCCTTTGGAATATGCAATATTACCCAAACACTGCCTCACATCTGGCTATCTATTGTGGAAGGAAGAGTTCTAAAAGCAAAAAGACGGTGTGGCGATGAGCTTACCAGTATCTCCTGTTGTCGCCGACATATTCATGGAGGACTTTGAGGAGAAAGCCCTTCTTACTGCTCATGTAGATCCAAGATTCTACAAGCGGTACGTAAACGACATCACAATATTACCATCTGACAAAGTTGGTGCTTGCTGTAAAGCACCCGAAAAGTCGGGAATTAAAAAGTTAAAATAAACGCGAAAAATTCCGTAAAAATTAGTTTCATTTAACATCTTGGTGTCTTCAATAAGCCTCTTAGCACGCCTTTCTATTGAGTTCAAAGCTTGCATGCGCCTGCCTGCCTGCGGTGGCATTTTGCACCAGGCCATATATAGCAGCATGCATGACCGGATTTGCGCTTTACTTAGTGTAAGCAACTGTCCCGGCGTGAAGTATTGCCGCACCTTTGCAACGTCACCTTACTTCCTTGGAGCTGCTTTTGCTATCAACTCAATGAAGCGCCAAAGTTCAAGTTCGAAGAAACCTCAGTCTCCAGCAACTGTAAGCAGTTGGAGAACTTCAATGATAAATATCGGAAAAAGGAGCCAAGGTAAGCCGCTCCTTTTCGCGTTGAAGATGCACGTGTTTCGGAGGCGTTGAATCTCACGAGTTAGTCGTCGCCCCATTTGGATACTGACTACAGTAAGAGATTCACACGTTTAACCATAGCAGCTTTTTCGGACTGGACATGATCCCGACTTGTCCGTGCACTTCGTTGATATCTCTTTAAAACTGTGCTGTCATTTGCGTACCCATAGATACCGGTCATAAGCAAGTCATAGATACGCAGCTGAAAGAGAGTTGCTGAGAGTACGGATCCCAGGAAATCCGGCATTAGTTGTCATCAGTTTGGAAGAGCAGACTTAAACAACGACTCGGAGAGACCGTTCTCTCCAAATCTCCTTCACCCAGTTATTTATTATTAATTTATTTATTTATTCTTAATTGTTACACCTTATATTAAGGTAACAGTGGGCGGACTTAATGCCTCTCGGCATTCTCTGTTAATCATACAAGAGGATACGCCGTACGCAGAAAGTATGCCTAAAAGGCTAGCGTGTCACAAAGGCTTTCGAGACATCAAAGAAACAGCAATAGCTTTCACATTGCTCGTCTAGAGCCTCGTTCCATATGTATATGGTATACGCTAGAACTAGAAGATCACCCGCCAGTCGCTGAGGAGGTAGTTCTGCTCTAGGTATGCCATAAGGTGGGTGTTCAATATATTATGCTCCATAATCTTTCAAAGTATTTAAGTAATCGAAATTCGTCGATAGTTAGCAAGACCAGCACGGCTGCCCTTTTATGGAACTTACTGCCTGGACAATATTCCAGTTCTAAGGGGAGGCGAAACAAGCATGTTAATACAGGAGACAACTTGGGTGCACAAACCTTAAGTACTACAGCTGGTATACCATTCCGTCCATGAGGTTTGTTCACGTCTAGACCCCGTAAGGTTTTAAGAACCTCTTTGTTAGTGATGCGGATCTCCGACACAGAGGTATTGTAGCTAGGTGGAACGTTATTGCCACTGCCTTGTCGTGGATTACTAGCAAGGAGATACGTTGTTTGCGCTAGTGAGCCATCCGCTTTTACCAGCGGAGGTACTGAAGGCTGACAGAAGTTTGTCTCGATCGCTTTGGCAAGAGACCAAAAAGCTATAAGTACTGCCAGATAGTTTGACAGTGTTTTGCGCCAATATTTCGAAACTAGCTTTCTGCAACGCTTTTATGAAATGTTTGAGAAATCGAAAAGTTCATAAAATAAAATTATTTCTCATTTATTAATATAAGTTCGGGGAAAAAATTCTTCGTATATTTTATACAAATTCAAGACATTAAAAAAAAGTTTAATTACAATTAACCATAATATATTCGTGCCATTTTGTGCGATAACATGCTTCTATCTTGTAGGTAATGACGTAATGACGTTGCTAAGTAGTTTTGACAGTCCTCTCTTGATGTCAACCTAACGGCGCCTCTACACGTTGGCCAACACAGTGGC